CACAGATATTAAATTCCATTTTATATTAAGAAGATAAATAATCATAAAGAATGTAGTCTTCTCGGATGTGACGGCGTGTAGATATTGTGTTAACCGACGTTTCGGAGGAACATATCGCCTCCATTTTCAGGGTAGAGGGAAGAAGAAATCCGCGAGCGAACCAGCGTGAGCAGGTGCTGTTAGCCTCCGAAACGTCGGTTAACATAATATCTACACGGCGCCATATCCCAGCAGACTGCTTTCTTCATAGTGACCGCCGTGAAAACATCAAATCTTACATAAATAATCATACTTTTCTTTTTTGGGAATTTTATGGAATACAGTCAAAATTCACAGTGTCTGAAGTTAAAGTGGGGAGTATAAAAATCGGTACTTTGAAGGATACTGAAAATAAATGTATTGCTTACTTTGGGAGTCGGGACACCTCAGTCTGTATGGCTATGAACGGCCCGGGTTCAATTCCCGGCAGTGAAAGTTTTTTCTCTTCTCCACAGTGTTAAGACCGACTCTGGGGCCCACCCAGCCTCCTATGAAACAGGAACCGAAACCGCGTTCGTCCGAAATATGAAAGAAAAGAGATAATTACAAAGTTTCTGTCTTCTGCGATATAATCCGCTGAAAGTCAACCGACGGTTCGGAGCAAAATATCACGACCTGCTTTCAAGCTGGTTTCTTACTTCACTTATTATTCGACCCTCAAAATAGAGACGATATGTTCTTCCGAAACGTCGGTTGACTTTCAACGGATTACACGACGTAACATCCCAGAAGATATAACTCTTAATGGTCCCTTTGTGAACCTGAAATCGTACATAAGACACTTATTTCTCTTGTATGACGTCACACCTATGAATTTATTTAGGAAGTTAATGCAATCAATAGCCGTCCGTCTGGTACAGGACCTCTTCTGTACGGCATAATTTCATTAATTTCATTGTCAAAGAAATTCAGAGTGTTAATCCATCGTCGTATTGCGCAATGTTACGACAGCATTTTCCGCAAAAATTTTCTGGGTTTCCTTTGGCTCACTGTAAAAAGGAAAATTGTCTCCTTAAGCATCATAGACTGGCGGATATTTGTCATGGATATGCTGTGTGTTTTCTGTGAAGTAAGTGTATAGAGTCAGAGTCAGAGTCAGAGTTACTTTACGACTGGCGCTTTAACGCCAATCAGTTCGTCTGGGCTGAAAGCCCCTTGAGACTCACGACCAGTAATTTCATTTTGCAACTGAACACTTTCGGTAATAGGAGCCGGGATAGCGTAGTCGGTATAGCGACAGGATACGGCTAAGCAACTGAGGGGTCCGAGTTCCAGTCCCGGAAATATCAAGAATTTTCTATTCTCCACGTAGTCCAGACCTGCTCTGAGGTCCATCCAACCTCCTATATAATGGGTACCGGTAGCTCTTTCCCCGGGGGTAAAACGCCTGAGACATGACTCTACTGTCGAGGTGAAGAAAATGTGGATCTATACATCCACTGCCCTCATGCACCTTCATGGCATAGTGCTTAATAATTTAAGGACAGGAACAACTTTCCTTTGCCTTACACTTGCGGTTATGGTCCTCATATAACGTCCTTTCTGTGGAGAGGATGCGTCTATCGTTTACAGTTGCTCTTGGTCCTTGTCAGCGCAGTCATTCTCAGATCCGAGTTCCTCGGGACTCATGACCATAAGGTGTTTAGACAGGTTTCGGACTCCGTTATAAAACATTATATCCAACAGTTCAACAGTTCTATTGTTGCGTGCATATCCGTTGCCGCTGTGTCTTTGTTTGGTTGCCGTGGAAACATGTTCATCGGCTTTTGACTGGCAACGAACAACTTATCTTGTTAAACTATTAAGNCCGTTATAAAACATTATATCCAACAGTTCAACAGTTCTATTGTTGCTTGCGTATCCGTTGCCGCTGTGTCTTTGTTTGGTTGCCGTGGAAACATGTACATCTTCTTTTGCCTGGCAACGAACAGCTTTCAGCTCTCATGACATGTTTGTGTGTTTATATGTCTCTGTAATAATAATTACTATTGTGCTATTTTAGGTTTCTGAATAAGTATAAGAGCTTCCATATTACGTCGATGAAAAGATCTTACTGATCCGACTTGACATTTTCATCCCCCTGCAGCTGCCCGTCCTGAGTAGTATCGTTATGGTTATATAAGCGGTCTGCTAGCAATTCTTTGTTCAATATAAAACTAAAAGTTTATTCAGCGATGTCGTTATCTAAACAAAAAGCTTGAAATATAACGGATGATTTTATGTACGAAAAATTGTATAATCACTTGAAAATCTCTTTTAAGATTTCAGACAATTCTTTTCTTTGCCTTGAACTAAGAAGACTTTATAATGAACTGTTTCTACTTCGGGTGAAAAAGAAAAATTTTAAATATAAGGATTATAGGAATTTCTTTTCTCTTCACCAGTAGAAATGCTCGGAGGAAGGAAGGGTGGAAGAGGAACGAAATAAAAGGGGTTGAAAGAAATAACATCAAGGGGCAATGAGTGTAATCTAGTTTCATGGACCTTTTTACGGTAATTGTATTTAACATGTGGGAATTCAACACGAAGCGTTGTTTGGAATTCCTTCAACTGTGTCTGCTTTCTCGAAAAACAATGTTCTCAAGTTCATTTCACTTGTTTTCCTTTATGCCTTTCGCTTAGTACAATTCTGGGCAAGCGTATGAAACTTGAAATCGTCCTGCGCAATAGTGGACACCATTAAGTATGTTGTAATTCATTACGTCAACTTATATTTTCATTTTTCTGATTTCATTTGAAGTAATTTCATTTGAATTCTTATTGTAACGGGGTCTTCTCATATGTTAAAACATTTAACATTTGAGGTTTTCACGGAGGTGACTATGAAGAAAAGAATCCTCTGTGATGTGGCGCGGTGTGGATATAGTGTTAACCGACGTTTCGGAGGAACGTATCACCTTCATATTCAGGGTTCCTCGCTCGCCGATTTTCTTCTTTTTTTCTACCTTGAAGATGGAGGCGATACTTTCCTCCGAAACTTCGGTTAACACAATATCTGCACGACGCCACATCCTAGAAAACTGCTTTGTTCATGTTAAAACATTCTCACTTATTATTTCTTTGGCTATGATGTAGAAATAAGTAGTGTGCAGTGAATTTTGATTGGGAAACCACTTTGGAAACGTACTACAGGAAAACTTGGAAAGAAAATTGCAGATAACAGTAAAGCAGAACTTAGAGAGACAGGCTGTAACGATCAGACGCGAATGGGCTTTACCAGCCGAGCTGAAATTTCAGTTTCTGAGTTTGAGCTCTTCTAGTATAATCAGATTTCATGCAAAACTTTGTTTTCAATACCATTAGTGTATATCCATGGATGAGTGAAAGAGATGACCCTGTAGAATTAACCTACGCTGATAATGTAAATTGTGATTTATAATTATGAACTTCGTTGTATGTTGTAATAAAACACGTCACCATTACTTTTAAGGCCTCGCTCATTATTTTCATTTTAATGATTCTCAAATTATACCAAATGAGGTATATACGTTGCTGTACATAACAAATTCTGTTTCAGAAAAATATAAATTGAAGGTTTTTATAAAGTTTTTGTAACTTAATTTAATGTTTATAACTATGAAACTTGTATTTATATATTTCATATTTTATTTAACAAACATTTCAGTGGTTCAATCTACAGATGTCTCGTCGAATATTAGGATAATTAAGAAGAAAGCAGTCTTCTGGGATTTGGCACCGTGTATATGTGGTGTTAATCGACGTTTCGGAGGAACGTATCGCCTCCATCTTCAGGGTAGAAGAAAAAGTATAAGAAATCTGCAAGCGACAAGACCGTGAGAACGGTAAAAGCAGACGTTCCTCCGAAACGTCGGTTAACACCACATATACACGGTGCCAAATCCCAGAAGACTGCTTTCTTCATAGTCACCGCCGTGAAAGCCTCAAATCTTACATTAGGATAATTAATTTGAAAGGATGTAGAAGGAATAGAAACTGACCTAATTTGAAATAATATCCGGTTATTAGGGCAGAAGGAATGAGGAAAACAACTGCAAACGTCAGAGAGTACAAACGGTCTTCTGAGCGGAGTTTGACTCCACGACCTCTCTAATACGGAGCATGAGTAATATCCACTCTACCGCTAGGTTCGCTGAGGTACTTCCTGTTCCGCATGATGAAGATTCGTTTGTGGGGTCCGAAACAATATATTTTGTCCTAGGTTGTTTTTCATTTTCTCAGTCCTTTTCAGCTTCTTACAAGAAAAGTAATACCTTATAATACCCCATTCAAGTAAAACGTAAAGCTATCCCTGTAACAGGCTGTGGAAGCCCATAGGGTTGTGAGACGTCGAGGTTCCCACATTTTCTAGACAATCGGCTCATAGATGGCGGTAAGGTTGTCAGCCCTACACGCCGGCCGCCCTTTACCCCCAGGAAGATTCCTGGTACTCATTTCTATTAGAGGCTGAGTCGGCTGGAAGGATTAACTCGTGACCTATGCCCCGTCAGACAGTACATTCGGACCACCCGTTACTTTCTTATAACTCCTCAAGAGCACAAGTAGCGATGAAAACAAAAGCTAGCTCTCTCAAGGGAAAGCGCGGGTTATACATGCGGTACAGTTACAAATAAAATAAGGTGTGACTAGTGTTGGCTAGATTAATTTGGTTCAGGATATTGACAAGTGGCTGGCTCTTGTGAACACAGTAACGCAACCTTCCTGTTACTTAAAAGACAAAGAATTTGTTGACGAACTGATATATTATTAGTTTCTCAAGACGCCCCCCCCCCGGCCCGTTTAATAGCGTTAATTATTGAGTAAGTTAGCTCAGTTGTTACACGTGCAAATACAGGTACCCAGAAACACAGAGTCGTCTTACTGGCGTATTGCTTCCGGTTGGATCTGTGGTCTGCTTTGTCCATAGGCGCTAACCCCTTTCCACTCCCTTCCCTCCGGTATTGAGAGTGGTCCTAAGCTGGGCTCATTTGTTTCTCTTTCAGAATGACACGATGAGGGTTCTGTTCTCATACCACGACACCGAGCCGCCCGGCCAGTACTCCAACGGTCCCCTCCCCTACCACGGCTCAGCACATCGGGGAGCCCGCAGTCTGTACCTGACGGAGCGGCTCAACATGGAAGAGACGTCCCCAGAGGAGACATATACTTGGGACCTTGTAAACGAAGTAAGCATCTCCCTACGTGCCTTGAAATTGCCATCTGAAGTTACTGCGTTCATTGTTCTTAGTTGTCCACCGAAATATTTCGAGCTCCATCTTGAATCCTGGAAGACTACCAATACGGCACCGTATTCTTCAAGCAATATTGTAAGAACAGTTTCAGTTTTATATACGTGCACTGAGGGTGTCTTAATAACCGGAATAAGGCAGTCGGTATAGCTGGAAGGCCGAGGGGTTGGTGTTCGAGTCCCGGTAGGGTCAAGAATTTTCTCCATGTCTTCCAGATCGGGTCTGGGGCCCACCCAGCTTTCTGCCCAAAGTGTAGCGGGGATTCTTCCTCCGAGGGTAAAGCGATCGGAGCGTGAAGCTTACCACTGACCTCCGACTAGTAATCAGGTCAAGAGAATGTGTTTCTATACATCCGCTGCCCCAAATCCCTTCATGGTTCAGTGCTTAATTAGTTAAGCACAGGGACAATTTTACCTTTATATTGAGGGTATCTGAGAAGTCAAAGCCGTGAATAGTCGTGGGGCATGAAAAGACTGGATGGAGGAAGCTTATTAATGAGAAACTCCATAATTTTCTACTCCTTATTAAATCAAGAAGTTGGAATGGGCAAGACAAGTAGTGTCAAGGGAGATATGACATAATGGACCTACAGTATTTAATTTGTACAATGTGAAGGAAGTAGGTCACTAGGGGAACCTATACGTAGGTAGAAGGGTAATAGAAAATTGCATTTTAAAGGCATAGGGTGAAGGGTTGCTAGCTTTTGTGAACACGGTAATTGAGCTTCTTGTTTAAGAAATTAAGATGAAATTTTAGGAGGGATGAGCGACATTCAGCTTGTTATGAAGGACTGCACTACTTAGAGCCATTTATTTAACTAACTATATCAATGTAGTTAGGGTGTGATTGCACAGATAAGTATTCCAAATGAGAATATAGATTGTTACGTGTGGGATTTGTTATTTCCCGGCCGAATAAATAATTTACTTGCTCTCGCTGTCGTCATAGCTCGCTAAATGAAGTCCTGAAAGCATTGCTTCCTGCCAGTAACTTCCGAGCCGCTGTGCTGGAATTGAGAGAACGCAGCTGTTTCTCTGTTGCGTAATAAGGCACCTCCGCTCATGCGCACTAGGCATCTCTGCTTCGAGAACAACAAAATGTACTGTGAGCGATCAGATAAGATAGGTTGCTTATAGTTTGGGGAACATATATCGTAAATAAGCTGTGAAGATATACCAGAGAAGGGGAGAGATATATCAGTTGGGCTGCAATAACGGGATAATCAGGCTCCGTCTCAGGGGAAGTACCTGAAACACTTAACTGGCTGCTCTGTCAAGGCGAATACAAAGCGCTAGATTATGGAAACAGCGCAATTTGCTGGCTGGATTGGGCAGGATTTCCAAAAGCGGCTCAGCGGCTTACAGTTATTTGTAACTCTCAAGGCAAGACAAGAAAGAAAAACTGAAAATGTTACTAAATATTTATAAAAATTTCGAGGCCCTGATTCGATTCCCGGCGCTAACAGATTTTCTGAGAAGTAGTTAGTATGGAACGGGGTCCATTTAGCCTCATGAAGATAATTGAGGAGCTTTTTCAAAGAAATAGTGGCTCCGGTCTAGAAAATTGAGATTAATGGCCGTGTGGATCCGTTACGCTGACCACATGACACCCTCTATCCGCTAAAGTTGGCACTAACTTCGCCGATAAGCGGCTGTCGCTCGGTCGGTATAGTTCTCTTGCGGACTAAAATAATGAAGTTAAAGTTAAAGATAAATAATTAGTTCATACCTCAGGGAATCATATTAATTCTGCAGCGTTTAATTGTGTTTAGTGGACTAATCGCTGTTTCTTCTCGGACTAATACGGTGTCTACAAATTCGCCTTGTGAAGGAAAAGAATGTTTCTGATGACGAAATATCCATTTACGTACCAGGTGAAGTTGTAGTCATGCACTTATATCAGGGAATTGAGGTATATGTGACATCGCTTTTCCTTGCTTTGCCTCAGGAAATCAGGAAAAGCGCTCTGGTGTTTCCTGCACCCAAAGAGAACCTGTTCGTTTTGATATGAAGAACGGGAAATGAAACAAAATTTATATTTCACTTACTTGAAATGAACCGGAAATGATATATTCTGTTCACAATGCGCATCGCACACCACAGGAAATTAAAATTAAGTTGCCTTGAAGGCTTCAGAGAAATTACAAAATTGTTTTGTCAGCGTATTAAGATGGCAAATAAGAAGTTTGTTCAACCGTCAAAGGAAGGTAATATCTCAGTACTGTGTGTGCCAAAAGTAATAGTCTCCTTGTTTCCATTTATGGATATCTTTACCCCACAGATTAGCTAGGCGGGAGAAGTGCGAAGTGCCTAAAATATTGCACTACTAAGGCGCAGACAGTCAGAGTCTTGCTACATTCGCAAGTTTAAGGTGGGATTAGCCGAGGAGAGTAAACGAGACGGTACGGAGTAGCGAGATTTTAGAGCTCCCAGCGCTTGTTCAGGAAGTTCATTAATGTTGAAAGTTCTCATTTTCACAATGTTAAATTATGTAGTTGTGCATTGCAGTACGGTTATTAATTATTATTAGAATAATCAAGTCGAGGAGAATGAGATGGGCAGGTCATGTAGCACGAAGAATAATGCCTACTAATATAGGATATTGGTGGGAAAGCCAGAAGGAAAGAGACCACTATCAGGACCAAGACGTAGGTGGGGAGATGTTATTAAAATGTATCTTAGAGTGATAATATATGATGGTATGGATTGGATTGATCTGGCTCAGGATAGGGACTGGTGGAGGGTTTTTGTGAACACGGTTATGAACCTTCGGGTTCATCAGCCTGCGATTATCTTGCTTTATCGATTGGATAAAATATGGGACCTAAGGGACCACGAATTGCAGATGGTGCCTGTGGTCTACCCCTTTATGTGAGGCATTTTGCAATACGCCATATTGCTTGAGGACTGACTTCGTAGTTTGCCAAATTTGTTTCCATCTTTGAAGTGTTCTTTTCCGGACCATTCTCCTGATATTTCGAGTGACTCAGTTTACCGCCATTTTGCATTTTGGATCCGCCGTTTCTTGTCATAATTTTCTGGGCTACATCTTATTATTATTATTATTGGAGGGGGTGGGTTTCCCCATGCACCGCGACTAATAGTCTATTGTACGTCCCCCTTTGATATTCTACCAGTCGCCCTACCCTACTGATACTGGTGCGTGCTATCAACCCCGTACAGCCAACGAGGTCGGCCCTCGGTACCCGATGCTTCCCCCATCTACCAGAGGCATTGGAAACTACTTGGGCGGGAAACTAGCCTAATTTTGCTCAGAGGTCTCCTAGAGACATGAGGATCTTTTATGTGCCGTAAATCTACGACACGGCACACACGGCTTAAAGTCCCTCCCGGAGGACTTGTTTCCTGAATTTTTCCGCCATTAAAATTTCCACGACCTCCGCCGGGTTTGAATCCGCGTACCTTGAGTCATGAGGTGGAAACGTTACCCCTAGACTACGGAGGCCGCTGGGCTACTTCTTGCTCTTCAATATTCAATCCGGGGCTAGTATTTCGTATTTTTAGCCTAAAATTGTAGTTCTATAGTCATTAGCGTGTATGCCGGAACCCAGAGGCTGCAAAGTCAAATTCTGATTCGCCAGCTTCAATAGAAGGTTGAATTTGGATATTCGGAAATATGAGTTCGGAGGCGACGCTTTGAAACAACTGCCTGTCTGTCAGCGTTTCAACTGGATCTGAAGCTCCCCTTGTTCTCACATGATACAGAATGCTAAACATTATTGGTATTTGATCTGAACCCAGGATGTCAGTGACAGTGACCTCTGACAGTGGACGTTGTGATGTACCACAATGCCGAGAACAATACTTCTACCATGAGGTGTAATGTGTAGAGCATTGTGGAGCTGAAACTTCGAAGTTTGAACTAACAGATAGTTCCAAAAGCTTCAAGCCTGAGGGGTTCCTAATTTTACTCTTTCAAACAGGGTGCTCTGCACTCAGGTCACCTGCCAGGATGGAGGAATATAACACGCATGGAGAAAAGAGGAATCCTTGTAGAATTTCAGTGGAAAACCAGAAGGAAGGAGGCCACTAGGACATACCTGGATATAGATGAAAGGATATTACTAAAATGAATCTATAATAATAGAAGTATCTGTATGGAGTGCATTCGACTGAATCATGATAGGGACTATTTGAGGGCTGATGTGAACACACAAAAACGTTCGATTTCATAATAAGTTTGGCAAATTCTTGGGTAACTAAATGACGACTGGGAGCTTTTCAAGGAGAACTCAGCTCCATAGAGTTACTTATAGTAATATATCTTGAGGACTAGAAATAATGCAATGAGAAAAATGTTTCGCAACCCGTACGAATGATGTTTTTTAATCTTTCATCCTCGACATGTTTCGGTGGGAGCGATCATCTTCAGAAGGACATTATCAATACATACGGAAACTACTATTACAATGTCATTGATATATTATTATTATCCTGTAAAAATTACTACGATATGCATGAATTTGTTAACACATTTATAAATGATTATAATTGGTCTATTTACAAAGTATTGTTTAAAAATATTTTTTTAAAATTTAGAACCAGTACAGAACCAAATTGTTTCTAGATATTAACAAAAAGTTTTTAAACAATACTTTGTAAATAGACTAATTATAATCATTTATAAATATGTTAACAAATTCATGCATATCGTAGTAATTGTTACAGGATAATAATAATATATCTTTTTTCCCCCCCCTTGGCACTACAGCCCCAGTCGGCCTAGGCCTACATCCATGAACTCCGTTCACGTCGGTTTTTCTAGATCTTACAAATTCGGCAGGACCCCTTGGGCGGGTAATCAGCTCGTCGCAAGGCCTGTACCTGTACACAAACACAGAAAAACGCACACACACAAACTAAACATCCATGCCCTGAGTGGGATTCGAACCCACGATCCCGGCTTTCGAGCGAGCG